TTTTTTTTTTTTTTTTTTACTCAGAAGTACCACTGCAGGACTTGGTTGTGCATTAGCAACAAAAAGTTTCATTTGAGCCTGAGAGGGTTAAATAAACTGTAATTTGTTCAGTAAAAATCTAAGACGAGTCACTTTCTTGTTTTTATTCCATCAGAGTTGCATCAGTCATCGCTGAAGCATGAGCTCGTGCATTTTATCAGCTGACTCTGTTCAGAGCAGCTGCTGTGTCACTGCATGATGACCAAACACTGATTTTCCATGAATACTGATGTTTGAGTTTTGATAAACCCGGCGCTGACGGTGCAGGGCTGTAGTGCTTTGCAGACTGTAGGAGTGGTTATCACAGCCTGTAACTGTCACACAGCTGTAAGTGCAGTACAACCACTTGAAAGTTTCTCTGAGTGGACAAATTTGTTCCATTAGACGGTACCCTACAAACCACATCTGATGTTGCTATAGCAACCATTGCCTTCCTGTTACATTCTGAGAAGTTCGTCATGGGCGTCAGTCTAATGCGAAGTCTATTATTAACTACTGAACAGCAGCTGGACGTCCCTCTCAGTGTTGCCCTTTGATATGAGTTTCTTTTTGTCTTCTTCTCTGCTCGCGATGGCGTCCGTCATACGGCGCCACGTTTTGTTTGTTTTTTTTGTTTTGTTTTTTTTAAATACGTACCATCAAATATTTTTGAGAGCCCGCTAAGTGCACCAAGCACCATCCATTAGCTTGAAAGGCCCATGCCGACACCAGCGTCTGCAGCGTGCAGAGCAGCACAAACGAAAAAGGTTCTCCCAAATTAGGGGGAGGAACACAAAACGTGCTCCTCGTTCCTGACAGGTCTGTGGACTGGCGTGGAAAGCTTTCAGCCTCTCGGTTTTTGTTGGGGAAAGATCGATCGTACTGCGCGCCTTTTTTGTGTTTCTGCTTTTTGTAATTTCGAAATGAAAAGGTTCTTTTTTTTTTTTTATTTCCCCCATTCAACAATTCAGTCTTCAAAGATAAAGATTTTTCTGCTCTGAAATATATATATTTTAAATCAATATTTCTCTCATCTCTCTCACTCAGGATGAGGGTAAAGAAGCTACCCATGATCCTCGCCCTCCACCTAAAGCGCTTTAAATACATGGACCAGCTGCACCGCTACACCAAACTGTCCTATCGCGTTGTCTTCCCCCTGGAGCTCCGCCTCTTCAACACGTCCGGGGACGCAACCAACCCGGATCGTTTGTACGACCTGGTGGCTGTCGTCGTGCACTGTGGCAGGTAGAGTTTATTGTTTTATTTCACTTTAATTTTTTGTCTTGAACTTGATGTGAATGTTTGCAGCTGCATGAGTGGAAGACGTGCAGTAGAGCACAAACTAGTCTAGTTTGTGTTGTATGGTTAAAAATGAGCAGATCAA